CCTCCCCTCTGCCTCCCCCCGCCAGATCCTCTCTCTCTTTCCTCCTCCGCCTCCGCCACCTCCCGTCCGCCTCTTCCCGCCATCTCCTCCCGTGATCTCCCCCTGCCAACTCCTCTCCGCCGCCGCCTCCCTATCCCCTGTGTGTGTGTGTGTGTGTGAGAGAGAGAGAGATGGAGAGAGAGAGAGAGAGATCGCGACCTGCGCCAGCCTCCGGCCTCGGCCTCCGCCCACCTCCCCTCCGCCTCCCCCCGCCAAATCCTCTCTCTCTTTCCTTCTCGGCCTCCGCCAGCTTCCCTTCGCCACCTCCCGTCTGCCTCCTCCCACCATCTCCTCTGTGATCTCCTCCCGCCAACTCCTCTTTGCGTCCGCCTCCCTATCCCCTCTGTGTGTGTGTGTGTGTGTGTGTGTGTGTGTGTGTGTGTGTGTGTGTGTGTGTGTGTGTGTGTGTGTGTTAGATAGATCGATAGATAGATAGATAGATAGAGAGAGAGAGAGAGAGAGAGAGAGAGAGAGAGAGATCGCGGCCTGCACCATCGCCTCTGGCCTCGACTTCCGCCCATCTCCGCTCGGCCTCTGCCCACTTCTGCTCGGCCTCGCCCACCTCCCCTTTGCCTCCCTCAGACAGATCCTCTCTCTCTTTCCTCCCCCGCCTTCGCCACCTCCCGTCTGCCTCCTCCCGCCATCTTCTCCCGCCATCTCCTCTCCGCCTCTGCCTCCCTATCCCCTGTGTGTGTGTGTGTACCGACTGAACGCAAAAACCCTTGAACTTTCGGCGATCATGTTTTTCACCTGATTTTTTGTTACTCATGTCAGCATTCTCACTTATGATATCTCCAGCTGTTTTCACAAACAGCCTTCTTCAGCTTACAGAACGTTCCGCTACTGACCCTGAAGATCAATGGCGTGTGTGTGTGTGTGTGTGTTCGAGAGAGAGAGAGAGAGAGCGATCACGGCCTGCGCCACCGCCTTCGGCCTCGGCCTCCGCCCACCTCCACTCGGCCTCCACCCACCTCCGCTTGGTCTCCACCCACCTCCGCTCGGCCTCCGCCCATCTCCGCTCGGCCTCCGCCCACCTCCGCTTGGCCTCCACCCACCTCCCCTCTGCCTCCTCCCGCCAGATCCTCTCTCTTTCCTTCCCTGCCCTGCCTACGCCACCTACCGTCTGCCTCCTCCCGCCATCTCCTCCCGCCATCTCCTCTCGACAACTCCTCTCCCGCCTCCACCTCCCTATCCCCTGTTTTTGTGTGTGTGGGTGTGCGAGCGCCACCTCCGCTTGGCCGCTGCCCACCTTCGCCCACCTCCGACCACCTCCCCTTCGTCTCCACCCACCTCTGTCCGCCTCTCCCCTCCATCTCCTTTCCTCCGCCTCCGCCACCTCCCGTCGGCCACCTCCTGTCCTCCTCCTCTGGTCATCTCCTCCCAACATCTCCTCTCCACCTTCGCCACCTCCCGTCCGCCTTCTCCCGCCATCTCCTCTCCACCTCCGCCACCTCCCTTCCGCCTCCTCCCGCCATCTCCTCTCCACCTCTGCCACCTCCCGTACGCCTCCTCCTGCCATCTCCTCTTCGCCTCCGTTCCGCTGCCCGCACATCCGCCATCCCTCTGCCTGCCTTTAAAAAGAAAAACAGAAAAAATGGTGCGCGCCCACCTCCCCTCGACCAGCACCGACCTTCTGTCCGCCTCTGCCCACCTCCCTCCCGCCATTGGGATCGCCAATCTCCCCTCAACCTCCACCCACCTCCCGTCCGCCTCCTCTGGCCATGTCCTCTCCTCTTTCCACTCGGCGTCTGCCACTTCTCCTCCGCCTCCGCTCACCTCTGGTCTGGGCTCCGTTCCTCTGCCCGCACATCTGCCATCCCGCTGGGCATCCCATTGCCCGCCCCTTTTTTCTTTTTTTATCCTTTTTTAACAGTGCGCGCCCACCTCCCCTCGGCCTCTGACAACCTCATGTCCGCCTCTGACGACCTCCTGTCAGCCTCCGCCCACCTCCCATCCACCATTGGGATCCCCCATCTCCCCTTGCCTTCCCCCCACCTCGCGTCCGCCTCCTCCAGCCATCCCGCTTCACATCCCGTTGTGCACGCCAACCCTCCCTTCTGCCATTGGGATCTCCCATCTCCCTTTGCCCTCCTCCCACCTCCCGTCCACCTCCTCCCACCATCCCGCTGCACATCCCGCCGTGCGTGCCAACCTCCCCTCGGCCTCCGCTGACCTCCTGTCCGCCTCTGCCCACCTCTCCTCCGCCTGCTACCTCCACCCACCTCCGCAAGGCCTCCGCCCGGTACCTCTGCCCACCTCCCCTCGGCCTCCGCCCTATGCCTCCACCCACAGGTCGGCCTTCGCCCGCTCTCCTCTCCACCTCCTGCTGCTCTCTGCCTCGGCCACTTCTCCTCTGCCCACCTCCCCTCGGCTGGCGGCCCACCCCCTGTCCAACTCCTACCGTCCTCTACCTCCGCCCACCTCCGCTCGGCCTCCACCCGCCCC